CTCACAGATCATTTGGGAAAAAAACTTAAAATCCCCAAATTTATAGAATTAAGAACTAAAAAGTGAAAAATTGGGGGGGAGCGGCAAGGTACTGGATGGCTCTTTTAATTTTCTTTTCAAATGTATTTCTTTATTTGGCATATATTTCTTTTGTGTAGGCACATACATGCCACAAACTGCACATGGAAGTCAGAGGGCAACTTGTAGAATTCAGTTCTCTCTTTTTCCAGTGGGACCTAGGATTCAAGTTAGGCTGCCAGTGTTGGCAGTCAACAACTTCAGCCACTGACTGCACCATCCTCCCGCCCCCTTAAATTTTTTTTCTTCTATAAATGCTCTTTGATGTCTTTTGCTGTGTCCCTCATGACCAGGTCCAGTGCCATGCTTGGAATTTTGAGAAGTGGGGAAGCTGAGGGACGTTTCTGTGAGATATGTCAGCTGACCTAACAGTGGCTCTCCTTCAGGCAGCAGCTTCACACAGGAAGTCACAGTCACAGCTGGGAGCATTACCAACAATTGTTCTCAAACTCAAAGAAAGTGCTTTCCCATTAAGGTTCTGCTGTGTGGAGATTAACAGGCTCCTGGGCAAGAGGTCAGGGTGGAATGTTTCAGAACTCCATTCTTGCTAATTTACTGCTCTGCACAGAAACGTGTTTGCAGCATCCAATACCAAGCTAAGAGGTGGTTCCAAGTCAACAACAATAGTACCGAGAGAGGCAAAGCACTTACCTTGTACATCACATTTCCTTCCTCCATCAATTTCTGTAAAAGTATAATCAAAATATCAGGTTTGGATGTGGCCATCGCCCAAGCGGCATTTCCTGCAAAATAAACATGCTGTCAGGGGTGCTTCCGTGGCCCAGAGGAAGCAATCCCCTGCTGCAGCCCCGACACCTGACAGTACCAACTGCAGGAATTCAAGGCAAAGTACAGTGCTGGGCTGTGTCTTGGGGCTCCTGGCAGCAGGTCTCTAGAAAGCTGGTTTAAGCTTCTTAACTATTTTATGCCAAGGCAGTCCCTGATGAGGAATCATCAATGCCCACAAAAGCTTATTCATCAATGCCCACAAATCCTTATTGCTCTACTAACAATGGTATCTCAAATGCTTGCCTTCCCCCAAGAAGGGGTCAAGTAAAAGCAATGAAGCCCTCAAAGGTATCTTCCTCACTCCCTGCAGCACCCAATATGGCAGGGGTGGGAGGCTGCTGTCCCCAAGGTCCCTGCACTCTGACCTTAGTTCGCTCTGGCTCTGAGGACCTAGCTTGCATCCCCTCTCCCATTCCTGTCCAGCTTTTCTTTTGGTCTAGACAGGTTATAGCCTTGTCACACACATGCAGTTCTGTCACTGCACAAGCACCTTGGGAGGCCACTGAGCTCCCTGTGTTTTGTGTTTGTTTTTCAAGTAAAAAGATGGAATTGCCACTACCTACATATAAGATCAAGATAAAAAAGGGAAACTGCTTAATACCGGGAAAAACCGTTTTCCATGTAGCCCCTTGTACCCAGAACTGCTCACGGTCAAAGAGCCTCCATAATAGCAAACCAAGACAGGGGCGCTATAGTTCTTCCCTGTATACGTGCTGAATGCAAGTGATGCTCTACTAGACACATATGTGGGCCTCCACACAACCTGTAGCTAATTGCCCACTCTGCTCCAAGGACCTCCTCAATGTCTCCTTCAGGGGAATTGTGTGCACTGAGGTCCTAACTTTCTGTCTAGCTGTCACTGATAACTCTAGAACAGCAGCCGTTCTACAGAAACTACCCTGGGTTTTCCTATGCCTCGGATGCTCAGTGCGTCTGAAATTAAAGCAGAGCCTAACTGCAGGGATTAAATTTTTGAATGAGAATGGCCTCCATAGGCTCATACATTTGAGTGGTTGAGCACCAGTTGGTGGAACTGTTTGGGAAGGATTAGGAGGTGTGGTCTTATGGGAGGTTATGTGTCACAGGGTGGGCTTTGAGGCTTCAAAAGCCATTTTCATTCCCAGTTATCTCTCTGCCTCATGCTTGTAGATCAGACATGAGCTCTCAGCTACTGCTCTAGTACCTGCCTACTGCCATGCGCCCCACCACGATGGTCATGGAGTCAACCTTGGAACTCTAGTTCCTCAATTAACCCTTTCTTCTGTGAGTTTCCTTGGCCATGTTCCCATCACAGCAATAAAAAAACAAGATGCTAATACTTCCTGGTGTGAGTGTCCCTCTCCCACTTAGCCTTTGTTCTCTGCTTACCTGGAGAGAATGTTATAAGGTAAAGGCCAGCAAGATGGCTCAATGGTTGAAGGCATTTGCCTGCAAGGCTGGGGACCTGAGTTTAATCGCTGGGATCCATGTGGTTGGTAGAAGGAAAGAACTAACTCCCACCAACTGCCCTCTGACCTCTGTGTGCAGCTTGGATTGGCACACACAAATAAAATGTCATTTTTTTTTTTTTTTTTAAGAAGAAAATCAAAAGCAACTTCAGTTTTCTGGATGACTGGGATTAAATGAGACATAAGACAGAGCAGAGCAGGAGGCAGAGAGAAAGAGAGAGTGAGCACACACTGCCAGCCGCCCAGCAGGTAATCTTTAGTCCTTACAGGCAAGGCTCTGAAGCCTAATCTCTGGCCCTGCTGACAGAAGTGGGGTTCACTGACCTAAAGGAAGTGGGGTTCATGGGGTTCATGGATCTAAGGGAAGTGGGGTTCACTGACCTAGTTTGGCTCCTTTCCTAAGCAGCGTAACCACCACAGCGGTGTTCCGACAACCGATGGCTCTGTCCAGGGGGCGCATCCCACTGTGGTCCACGTGCTCGATCACAGCTCCCTTCTCCACCAGATACAGCACCTGTAAGCAGCAGGGGCAGAACAAACTTGAGGAGCAGTCCCTGGCTGAAGGAGGGCGGATCTTCCTGTCACGCAGTGTCAAATGGAAAGAAAACCGATGTGACACCAAGGAAAGGAGGGAGCTAAAGCCCATGGCTAGACTCTCTCTGCTGAGGTGACTCTGCTACCAGTGATGAGGAAGGCAAGCCGACGGGTACAGACAGGTGTGAGCGGAAATACATGACCTGTATCTGACCCCACTCACAAGGCCACAGACAGGACTCGTGGTCACCTTTTCACCTGCAACTAGCAGGGAGGCTTCTGCAATGAGCTCTGGCGTGCTCCAGACACACAGATTCACAGTGTGGGGGGACAAGCTGCAGACATGAGCAGCCTGGAGCCAGGTGGGCCAGCATCATTCACTTTAGGGTTTAAGAAAGAGATGACACTGTTAGGACTGTGAAGATGGTGTGTCTGAGGTCACGGTATAACAGCTGGGCATGATGAAATAGCTGCATGTACTCAACATAGGCAATGCTAAGAAAAAAACTACTTTACGTCCAGCTTAGATGGTTGTGTGAATGCAACTGGACATATTTCCTACCAATCTACTGGGAATTCAAAACGACACTAGAGGTTACTATCCAGAATATAAAAAGAGACCCAAGTAGCTCAATGATGCTCTGGTTTGGAATGTACATCCTGACAGAGCATGGCATCTGCCCTGGCAGACATCTCCCAATTCTCAGTTTACAAATTAAAATTATAACTTAAAACAATTAGTATATTCTAAATTAACTATATGTTTAATTAATATTTTTCTTCAGGGAAAGTGGTTTCTGAATGGCCTATGCAGGGATTTTATTTATATGAAGCACATGATAAAAATAAAGCTACAAAGAGGCATGCATGTTCAACTCCATGTCTGCAGTGTATATACAATTGGTAGGGGTAGGGCTTTTGGGCTTGGAAGAGTGCATAAAAACCTTGACTAACAGTCTCAGATTGGACTGCATACAACAGAGTTATAGACAATTGAAAAGATTGCACACACACAGAGGCCACAATCAAGACAGCTTCACAGAGCCTAGACATCAGAGCAGGCCCTTCTTTCCATCCTCCCTATCCTGCACACAGGAAAAGGCCCACACACCGGCAATGAACATGTTAGTACGCACCGTTTCTGCATCACCATAGAAGGCAGCCAGGTCCAAGGGAGTGCGGCCATTTTTGTCTGTCTGATCTATCTCAGCTCCTTCTTCAACTAGGTACTGGACCACAGCCCTGTGACCCTTCAGACATGCCCAACTCAATGCTGACAAGCCCTCTTTGTCCAGGGAAGAAAGAGCAGCACCTGAGAGAAAAGTCCATTTATAGCTGGTTGGCAGACATGAAGATGTTCTAAAGAGACACTGTGTTTCCCAATCTCACTATCAGACTGTTGAAAAATGGATCCCAAAGAATGAGATTTTCCCCAAGCATCTCACACTGAGAGAAGGAAAATGCACCAGCCAGAGAGAGAACTTATTTCCCAAAAAGAGATTTCCCAGTTTTAACAACTTGTTAGGTCAGCTAACAGGACAAGATGGAAGCCCAGACAATGATGGGCCAATGGCATGTGAGACCACATCTTGACCAGAACTGATTAGATGTTCATGTCCTTGGCCTTTAAGTGAAACTCTGATTTCACTTCAGGACCCCAAAGATGGACTTGAAGAGGCTGCAGAACCTTTTGTCCCTCCTCCCAGTGTGGTCACACTGAGTAAATTTCCTTTGTCTACTTTCTACTTTTAATTGGCTTATTGAAGAGGGGCAGCTGGACCTGAGCTGGGCCACAGACTGTCATCCCCAGGTCCAGTAATACAATCACAGGACATGAATAAACCTGGGTCCACCACCTGGATGCCTGCCCGTGAGTATATCATCCTGAGTGAGCAGGTCTGATGGCCAGAGGGTCTCACCAAAGCTGAATGATAAACACCCAGGCTGCATCATGCCTTTGAAAATCCACACGACAAAAGAGTAATTGGGAAGCCAAATGTACTAATGGGTCTCCTGAAGTTCTTCCTGCAAAAGCAGCCGGCGCACTGAAACACACCATACCTTTTGAAAGGAGGAATTCCACAGTGCTCAGGTGTCCTTCACAGGCAGCCACCATGAGAGGTGTCCGACCCTGCTTGTCACTCAGGTTCACATCGCAGCCATGATCCAAAAGCAATCTGACAATCTGAAATACGTGCCAAGAATCAAGCCCCTGCCGTACTTAAGGCCACGGTCTCCATAGCCAGCCACTTTCTCCATCTTTCCCACCAGTTGTGTGATACATGGGACCAAACAAGCTTTCTGCTGTATTTGTTTCAACAAAATCTTTGTCTTTGTATTCTTTCAGTGTACACAGTTATATGTACAAACTCACATATACCAGGTAGAATTAGTAGTGAGGCATGCCAGTCACAATTAGGTGATGGCAGGACGGCCACATTGTGGGGAGGCGGGATTATCTCAGCATAGGAAGGTTCCAAACTGGTCCTGAGGAGAGGCATTGTGCCCTGTGTAGCTGGGGTTCTGTAGTAGATAGATTTACCCAACCAATAACATTCAGTCTACAGACTGAATGCAAATACCGTGCCATTATAAGGGACTTGAGCTTCCTCAGATTTGATATCTGTGGACAAACTAAGAGGGGTGTAACGATAGTTACAAGAGAAGGGTCTAAGGCAGGAGAGCAATTCTGCTTTGCAAAGATGTAGCACTTGGCGGTGGCTTGTCCTTCTCCAGACAATTCTTATCAAAATGTCTTGAAGTGAATTCTCAGCATCAGCAATGTGCTTTACACCATGCATGCTAGTAAGGCTGGGGAGAAAAATCAGAAACACGGGCAGGAGTCCCATGTAGTCCTCGTGATGGATGCCACTCTGCCCACCGGGTCAGCCCAGAGGTTACCTGGGCACGTCACCTGTTACAATGCCAGAGTGACAGAGTGGCATATTCCTACTGCTTTCACTTCGTGTATCAGCAAATTCCTTCCACCTTCCCTGTCAGTTAGGAGACACTGAGACAGGCAGAGGGTTAGTCACAGACACTGTGTAATGAATGAGTGGTCTTGAAGCTGTTTGTGTGCACAATGCAGGTGTAACATGGCATTGAGTATGGATAGAGATATGTTCACTGTTTCAAAATGAAGGTTGAAGCTGCGGGGCAGCAACGCCCTGGTTCCTTTGCATTAAAAGATGGCGTAAGACTGGATCTTCCAAGAAGTACCCTGAAAGCTATTACTCAAATATGTTGTATGGACAGGTTACAAAAAAATAGCAGCAGCAGATATGCCATGATGAACCATCTACCACTGTAATCCAATTCTCCTGGAGTTAAGGAACTACTATGTAGTGATGGTGACGTGGTATGGTGTGTTGTGGCGTGGCATAGCTGTTCAGTCCCTCTCTCGATGATTGTATCTGCGAAGTAGTCATGACAATAGTGGGAGAAACCAGGGATGGCAAAGAGCCTCAAGAGCCACAAGTGGTCTCAACAGTGAATCCCATCCCCACCCACTGTTCCTGAAGTATCTAGGGGTCCCCCAAGTACCTGCCAATGCCCCTGGCGGGCTGCACAAAATAGAGGGGGGACCCCTCTCCTGTTGGCCCGAGACACAGCAGCTCCACGCTCCAGCAGCAGCTCACAGACCTCCAACTTTCCTCTCCCGGCAGCAGCAGTCAGGGCTAGGGGAAGGGAAGGGTAGAGGGAGCTGTCAGCAGGTGCAGGGCAAGGGCCTCAAGGGCCTCGACTTACCACCCCCCTTGGTGTGTGTGTGTGTGTACTCATGCTCTCCCCCGTGATCAACAGAGCATGGTGGCCCTATGCTAATGTCTGGGCCTGGGCCTCTGGAAATGGGCAGCTTGTGTTGCCCTTGAGTGCTTGTCCTAGAAGCCAGCTGCCAAGCTATAAGGAAGACTGAGCAGCTCTGAGGTGAGATCAACAGCAACAAAACTGAGGCTGCATGCACTTGACAGTCTCAGGCAAGCTCCCAGTGGACAGCCAGCAGCAGGAGGCCAGCCCTGTGTGAGCTGGCCTGTGTAGGTCTCCAGCTTAAGTTGAACTGTAGTCCTAGAGCTATGAGGGCAAAGACACATCAGCTGGCCCCGGCATGCTTTGCTCAAACCCCAGATTCATTAAGTTTGGAGTCTGTTTTCTTCAACAAGAGATAGAACACGGTAGATTACAAGAAGACTAACGTTACACTCAAATCTGGCCTCTTAGCCTTAAGTCAGAGTCCATTCAATGAAACATAATTGGGGGGGTGGGCAGGAGAGACAGCTCAGTGGCAAAGAGCTCTTCCTGCTCTCCCAGGAGACCCCGGTTCAATTCCCATCACCTATATTAACCTGTTCACAGACACCAGTAACTCCCACTCCAGAGGACCCAATGTCCTTTCCTGACCTCCATGGGTCCCACATTCCTGTAGCATCCACACACACGGACACACAAACAAAAATTAAAACATTTCTAAATAAAAAGAATGACTGAGATAACCACAGTGTCCACCCTATCATTGCTGCCCTGCTGGAATGTAAAAACCTCTTTAACAAGTCAGATTAAACGTTATAAAGCAAAAACGAAGGTGCTGGGGCAGACATTGGTTAATCACAGACCAGTGTTACACAGTGGCGGGTGCAACACTGAAGGGAAAAAACGCTGCGCCCGACTGTGCCTCTACTCGCCTACAGCCTGGCTTCCTCTTTGTCCAAGAAAGGACAACAGCAGGGATCGGTGACAACTCAGGCCCAGATACCAGCTTTTCAGTGGGCAAAGGGGCAGTATGGTTCTGAGCCACATAGGATGGATGCTCCTCAGGGAGCAGCCTGCTGCCAGGAGGAAGAAGAAGCCGAAGCATGGCTGTGGTGCCATTCTCATGCTTTCCTGGAAAACTCTGTTTTTAAATATACCCTCAATCGCCAGCTTCCAGAAGGTAGCAGTATTCCTCTGAACCAGGGAAAGGGGCAGACTTCTCAGGCTACAAGAGGGGAAACAGAAGAAAACCTTCAAAAATGAGCAAGTCAAAGCCAGTGAACATATGGAAAGTGCCCCTCCTCCCCAGCCACGAGTGTAACTGATGTGGAAGGAGGGGACAGTTGCTCTTGTGGCAGGAGACAGTGACTGGCCAACAGGCCAGGTGAATGTACACTTATATGGCAGCATTCTTCTCATGGCCTCAAGCTAGGCACTACCCACATTGCCATCAATAGTGGGAAACACAGTGAACAACGCTGTCACACAGTGGGAACTTCACACATCTATGAAAATGCAGGCCCCACACCTAAACACAACTCAACAACTCAATATGCCCGTCTTACACATTCAACTCACTGAATAGCAAAGAACACACAGTAAAAACCCGTATACTGCAAAAGCCATCTTGAAAAGGAGTCTTCGAACCCTTCTTTTGGAAAGGGTCTGCCTCCTCAGCAGAGCTGGGGATGTGGTAATGAGAACCTCGGAAGCCAGTGCTCAGGAAGGCTGCTTTCCATAACACATGTCTGCCTGCACCTATCTCTCCAGGCCACTCACACATGACTACCTGACGCTTGCTCCTCCTGGGGCCCTCTATAAATACTATGCCTTCAGTCAGGGTTGACTCCTAAACCTCTGCCCTCTGCTCACAATTATTCCAGCTTCCCCTAAGCATGGTCCTGGTGACTGAGGTTAACCACGAGACAGACAGACAAAGATACAGATCCACACACACTGCAGACCAGAGAGCTGGGCTTGACACCTGCTGACATCACCTGAGTTCCATTCCCAGCCTTATTCAGAAAGTAAGGAGTAAGGCAGGAGCCATGTGAGGAGGAACTCTGGTCTTGGGGGGCCTAGCATCTGAAGCACAGGAAGACACCAGGAACATGCAGTTCCCTATCCTTCCAGAAAGACAAGCCAGTTCTCACTGTTTCTGGTCCTGAGCCCCTGAAGCATGAGTGTGGACCTGTCAGGGCACTGTGCCTGCTTTAGCAGCTTCCCCAGCAGCTGGGGAAGTGAGGTGCACACTGAAGGCCTGGCCTGATCACACCATTCTTGCTCATTGTTGAGTTCCTGCTCCCTACTCAGGGAGTGGGTCAGCACATTTCTTCAGCAAAATGTGTCCAAGGGGCACCATTCTGACAGACCTGAAGTCTCTCGATTGTTTCTGCAGCAGACAGCCCAGAAGGAGCGAGTCAGGGGACCAGAGGAGGTAGCAAATTAGCAGCTGACACTAGCCTTTTCAGGTCTGACGTGAACACTCGTGGGCTAGCATCTGCTGGAGGTCAAGATGTTCTAACATCTGAAGTAGCTGTTCTTTTCTACAAAGCACAGCACATCCTAACAGCTTGCCTTGGCCTCTGTGGTGGAACGCTGCTCCAGGAATTAGGACTGACCCCTTTCCGCTCTCCAAGGTATGGTCTAGCTAGCCTCAGACCCTGTGAAAAGTCAAGAGCTGACACGGAGGCAGGAATTACAGGCTCTAGCAGAAGGTACAGCGGGGCCAGCACACAGAGCCTCCTAGGACTCAGAGGCCCGAGGGGTCCAGAATGGACCAGATGTACTCCAGAATGCAGGGGTTTCAGGATGAGACCGAAAATATTGTTCTCGTGTATTTTCTGTGTTTGACCAAGACAGTTTCCTCATGTGTATAGCTAAGTAGTCAAACCTGACCAGACTTATGAAGAGTCTTAGGTTCATCAGATGTTTAGTCGCTTAAATATATCTTAACTATTGAGAAACTGAGTAATCAGCACAATGCCCTGGACTAGAGCTGTTATTACTAGATTTTAACATCGAGGCCACCAGAGTACACTGGCAGGGTGACAAGAGTGGCATGCCTGTGGCTGTTTGAAGAGCCCTATAGACTCACAGGTTTGAATGCTTCATTGCCAGAGCCAAGCAGGGTTTGAAAGGACTGGGTGCGGTCTTACAGGAGGAAGTGTGTCACTGGAAGTGGGCTTTGACGTTTTCAGGACTGGTGGCTCTCTTCTCTTCCTGCCGTCTGTGCGTCTGAATGTAAAACTCTAGGCTCCCTCCCCAGCACCATGTCTGCCCACATGCAGCCATGCTTCCTACCATGATGATAATGGACTAACCTCTGAACTGTAAGCCAGCCCAAATTAAATGCTTTCCTTTATAAGAGTTGCTATGGCCATGGTGCCTTTTCACAGCAATAGCACACGGATTAAGACTGGGCCAAAAGGCATCTCCAGAATGTTCCTTTAGTTTATCAAAGTTCTTCCTTCTGTGCATGTGTGCACGTGCGCATGCGCATACATGCTCTTGCAAGTGCACACAGGTGATACAAACAGGCCCCCGCCCCTAAGGAGAAGACATTCAGACTTACACATGAACATGGACCAAAAGATAAGCACCCAAGTCAGTTTTACGCAATGATGCACAAAAGCAGTGGCCAAGGTGGTCCAAACCAGTAGATGAGACTCTAAGCCAGTCCCCATCCTTGCTGCAGGGAACTCCCAATTCAGTCTGTTCCTGCCACAATGATGGCAGTGGTGGTGCTCATGACGGCTGAGAGATGGGGCTTGTGGTGCTTTGCACTGTAGAAGATCAGAATATGCCACACCCAGATCCATCTCTGGCAGAGAAGCTATACTGTATTTTGAGAAACTCAGATACTGAAGAAACTCTGAGTACAAATGAACTGTCCCCTTCCTGTGGGAAACTGACATCTCTATGGGAATTCTCCCTTGACAGGCATCTCCTCTGTCCAGGGAGGGCCAGACAGAATATCTGGAGAAGCAGTCACACAAACCTCACACTTGTTGACCTTGCCCACATTGCCTGTGTGTCCCGTGGCCTGTGCAGAACACTGAGTCAGATGCTCGTGTCTAAACCGCCTCTGTGAGCTGTGACCACTTCTCTTTCATGTAAACCTGGGCTTTACAGGACACTGTTGTGCTCTGGTCCCATTACCACATCTTTTGTTATAGGGGTCTGTCCCTACCCTAGGGGTTATGAAAGTATAAAAACCTGTGTTGTCCTCTTCTCCTATAATATACATTGTCTGAACTGATCTGAGCAGGGTCCCTGCAAGTGGGTCATGCATGAAACATCCTGGTGCTAGCTGCTGCTCTGGAATTTTCCTTCACTCAGGGACCTTCTTCCTCCTTCCCTGGCTGTACCCAACTAAGAAGAAAGGGATCAAAAGGCACACAAGGACATACATGTGTTTGCACACAGAGACACAGGACTCTGTGGAAAGAAGTGAGCTCAGTGTTATGTTGGATGAGACCTGAGTGGCCCACAGCCTAAACACTGCCTTCCTTCATTTTGTGAAGAAGCTTCATCCCTGTGAGGAATGGGACCTTTAAATCAGCATTTCTGTTGCAGCTGCTACTGATGTCTTTCAACAGTAACATATCAGACAGCCCTGAGCTAAAAATAGGATCTGTGTGTTTTGCCAGCCGTCAGAGAAGCCGGAAGTCGGAGCAGCTGACAAGCTGACAAGTGTGCCCTGTCAGGCCTGGCGACAGGGTTGGACTCCACCTTCTTTCCTCACAGCCAGATCTGCTGTGTGTGTTACTTCAGTCAGGGATTAAGAACCTGTCAGCACAGGTCCACTCTGCTCAGGCTCAAACCAGCTCAGGTTCGACACCAGAAGGCTAAGGAGACACTATGATGACAGACAAAGGACATGGTTTCTTTCCTCTTCTACCCAGAGTGAGTATTTTTAGCCTCATCACAC